AAAATAAATGAAGTTTTATTAATTAGATTTTATTTATGAGGTTTTATTTAATGATTAGCTAGCAATTATATATATATATTATTAAAAAACAATTGTTTATAAGATATTAAAATTGTTTAACTATGCTATTAAAACAATATACTAATTATTTTTAAAGAAATATTTTTATGAGCTACAGAAGAAAATATAATATTGATGTTAAAATACATAATTTGAAACAATTGTTTATAATTATGTAATTTATATTTATTGCGAATTATCATTAGTTAGTATTAGCAATAACTATTATATAATATAATAGAAACATACATGATTACACTTAATATGATGTATTAATGTGGGAAGTAAAAATTATTAATGTTAAATTTTGTAACCGAAAATGGAGGAAAAAAAGTTAGAGGTTTTATTAAATAGGTTTTATTAAATGCTATTGGTTAGTAATTATATATATATAGATTTTGCTAATTAATAATTAATTAACTAGCTAATTATCCTATTTGTATTTTCAACAAATATTGATTAATATGAAAATATTGATTAACAGCCAACTGACTGGCATTGTCTGCACGTTGCAGGCTGATTTTCCCACTAACCTGAAAAAACGTACACTGTGCACTGTGTGTGTACCCATCACCCCACCCAACCTATATTACTACACACTATACCTCTACAGCACCAAAAAAATTACTATTAATAGTTACTCCTCCAAAAACAAAAATAAATGCACAGTATTCTATTTATAATTAATACAAATACCCATTTGAATAATATAAAAAAAACATTTATTCTTATTTTCATATAATTAAGCCCTTGTTCAGAAGGACGAGATTGGACTATTTTAGTGCAAATGTAAGTGATTGTATTGTTGGGATAAATTTAGTTATGTGTAACAAGGTGTAGGATAGTTTTTTAGGTTTTTGTTAAAAAAAAAAAAAAAATTCATTTAATTTAACATAAATCAGCTTTAGGTTGTGAAGTACTATTATACCCCTTATTATTTCAAGTTCAATTGGATAAATTAAAAAATGAAGGTAAATTCGACTTTAAGCTCGCCGGGATTGAACTAATCCCATATAAAGGGCGGGATTGAATTATCCCGGTTTCATAGGATAAAGGACTTTTTTTTTGTACCGAGCCGACCCAATCCTGCGCGGGTTTCAATCCATAGAACCAGACAAAGGATTACATGGGATATCCTGCCAATCCTTCATATTTATCCAAATTTCAAATAAGTAATTTTTTATTAGTGTAATAATAGTTATAATCCGTATTTACAAAAGAAAATCGCCGTTACCAAAATTATAGGGGAAAAACATGACGATATTTATCGTGTATGTAACGGCTCCAATTTAACCTCTTCATATTCCCATCCCATTTTTTCAGGCGCACTTCAAATTTTTTTTCGAAAAAACGATTTTTTTTTTTTATTTTAGTAAAAGGAAAATAAAAAAAGAAATAAATAGTATATTATTATTTAATAAATATTGTTCTCACCTCCTTCGTAAGAGTACGAGATTGCTGTTCTTTTCTTCACTCTGAAACAAAACAAAACAAAGCAAAACAAACTTCCTTCTCTCAAGTTTTTCCTCAAATCAAATGGCAAAACAAAACTCGAACCCGAATCCCAACAGTAGAAACACTGCACACATGCCGCCACCGCACGAGGAGCAGGACTTCAACCTCACGGAGACGCGGCCGAGTCTCGGCGGAGGGAGAATCTCCAGTTCCGACCGCGGCGGCACCGCCTTCGACCTGGTGGAGCAAATGGACTACCTCTACGTTCGGGTCGTCAAGGCCCGGGCGCTTCCGGGCAGCCCCGACTCGTTCGTGGAGGTCAAACTCGGCGGCCTCAGGGCAGCCACCAGGAACTTCGAGAACACGTCATCTCCGGAGTGGAATCAGGTCTTCTCCGTGCTCAAAGACCGCATCCAGTCTCCGGTCACCGAGGTTCTGGTCAAGAGCAAGCCCAAAAACGGCGGCGATGGTTTCATCGGGAGGATTCTTGTCGACGCCATTGACGTCCCGAGGAGGGTTCCGCCGGACAGCCCTCTGGCGCCCGAATGGTACAGGCTGGAGAACTCGAAAGGCGAGAGGGTCGCCGGGGAATTGATGCTCTCTATCTGGATGGGCACTCAGGCCGATGAGGCTTTCTCGGAAGCTTGGCACTTGGACACCACGGCTGTTAATGGCGACGGCGTTTCCAGCATCAGGTCCAAGGTATATTTATCCCCACGCCTTTGGTACTTGAGGGTTAACGTGATTGAGGCTCAGGAATTGCAGCTGGGTGACAAAAACCGTCACCAGCCCGAAATCATTGTTCGGGCCCAACTCGGTAACTTGATTTCAAGAACCAAAATCTCCCAGAGCAAGAATTTAAATCCCTTATGGAATGAGGATTTGATGTTTACTGTAGCCGAGCCTTTTGATGAGCAACTGATTTTGTTTGTTGAAGAGACAATAGGGAATAACAACAAAAGGGAGGAATTAGGCCACTGTGTGGTCTCTCTGCAGGGGGTCGAAAGAAGGCTCGATTTCAAGGCGCCCATGAGCCGTTGGTATAACCTTCAGAAGCACACAGTTTTAGAAAATGGGCAGAGGAGTACGAAGGGATTGAACAGTAGACTTCACCTGAGGATGAGTTTGGATGGTGGATATCATGTTCTTGATGAGCTAACTCACTATAGTAGTGATTTGAGGCCCACCGCCCGCCAGCTTTGGAAGCCTGCCATTGGGGTTCTCGAATTAGGAATCTTGAACGCTCAGAACCTCGCGGCTATGAAAACGAGGGACGGCCGGGGATACACCGATGCTTACTGCGTGGCCAAGTACGGGCAGAAATGGATTCGGACGAGGACGATCCTCAACACATTCGACCCGAAATGGAATGAGCAGTACACATGGGAGGTATTTGACCCATGCACCGTCATCACAATCGGCGTTTTCGATAATTCTCAGCTGCAGGGGCAAAATGGGAACAAAAAAGACTCGAGGATAGGGAAAGTTCGAATTCGGCTCTCCACGCTCGAGACCAACCGGGTGTACACTCACATGTACCCGCTCATTGTGCTCTCCCCCACAGGGGTTAAGAAGATGGGGGAAATCCAATTGGCAGTGAGGTTCTCTTGCGCATCTCTATTGAATATGCTGTCTATGTACGGCCGACCATTGTTGCCGAGCCTTCACTACCTTCACCCGCTGAGCTGTCACAACATTGAGATTCTAAGACATCAGGCAACTCAGATAGTGTCGGCCCGGGTGAGCCGGGCAGAGCCCCCACTGAGAAAAGAGGTGGTGGAGTTCATGCTCGACGTGGGGTCCAATGTGTGGAGCGTGAGGAGGAGCAAAGCCAATCACTTCAGGGTGGCCCGCATCATGTCCGGCTTGGCAAAGCTGTCGAGGTGGTTCGACCGGATATGCGCGTGGTACAGCCCGTTCACCACAGTCTTGGTCCACATTCTATTCCTAGCGTTCGTGTGCTTCCCGTGGATGATCCCGAGCACGGTTTTCTTGTACCTTTTCTTGATCGGGATGTTGAAGTACCGGTGGAGGCCGAGGCACCCGCCCCACATGGATGTGAAACTGTCTCAGGCGGACACAGCCCAAAATGACGAGCTGGATGAGGAATTCGACTCGTTCCCCACATCTCTAAAGCAGGTCGAGGTTTTGAAAATGAGGTATGATAGGCTGCGAGCCATTGCGTCAAGGGTTCAGACGGTGTTGGGGGATTTGGCCACTCAGGGGGAGAGGCTGAACAATCTGCTGAGCTGGCGCGACCCGAGGGCCACGGCTTTGTTCCTTATGTTCTGTTTGGTCGCGTGTGTGGTGCTGTATGTGGCCCCGCCTAAGGCCGTGTTTGTTGTGGGTGGGTTTTACACGATGAGGCACCCGAGCTTCAGGGACCGGATGCCTTTGCCGCCCGTGAATTTCTTGAGGCGGTTGCCGGCGAGAACAGACGGCTTGCTGTGAGGGCTGGGTTTGAATTTTGTTGGTGATGGTTTAAGACATGTCTTTTGCCTTTGGATTTGTTTGGTGTTTTGGTTGAATTTTGTGTGTTTTCTATAGTAGGTGTGTGTGTTCAAACTTGATGAGTTTGGGCATCTTTTGTCTGCCTTAGAATCTTGGCATGTTCAGTTTGTGATTCACACCAGTTCAGATTAACATATTTATGGAAGGAAGACTTTAGCTTTTGAATTGTGAGTTCGAAGTAAAGATTGAGAGATTTTTTTCTTGCAATTCCCTTGTATCACCGTTAGTTTTTATTTGCAACCACATCAAATCAATGATTTACTATACTAGTCCAACACTTCATACAGTAATGCTCCCTGACATTCCATATTATACATGGACTAGTACTTTTTAATTATGCACATGTATGATAGAAATTATATTATGTAATAAATAAAGTTTAAATTCAATAATATAAGAAATTAAAATTAATTGTCTATATGACTATATATATATAATAAGAATAATCATTTACTAAAAATATTAGTAAAAAATTTTGGAAGCATTTAATGCATACATTTTTTTGAAATTTTTTTAAACTAGTACAATACCCGTGTATTACATGGGTGCTTGCTAATTTTTATCTTAAAATTTAAAATTAATGAGAAAAAGTAGTTTGAAAAT